GACAAGGTACAGTTGGCCTTCCTAGCCGCCTCCCCACACTGCCGAGCCATGTTCATCTTGGAGTCAATAATGACTCCAAGATCCTTTTCCACCTCTGTGCTGACAAGAGGAGAGTTCCCCAGCCTGTAGGTATGGTGCCAATTGTTCCTCCCCAGGTGCATCACCTTGCACTTGTCTGTGTTGAACCCCATCCTGTTCTCTTTCACCCATCCTTATAACCTGTCAAGGTCCAACTGTAGGCTGTTGCTCCCTTCTATTGTGCCCACATCTTGGTGTCATCAGCAAATTTGAACAGGGTGCTTTGCACCCCCTCATCCAAATCACTGATGAAGATGTTAAACAGGGTAAGCCTGAGGACCCTGAAATCTTTCGGTCATGGTGCTAGCAAGTGCGGCATCACCGAATTTAATAAGTGTGATGTGGGTTTTTATTCCCAAGGTGGAGCACCTTGCATTTATCTGTATTGAATGCCATCAGGTTTTCACCCACCCACCTTGCAAGCCTATTGAGGTTGGCCTAGATCACCAGCCTATCCTCAAGTGTGGACACTCTTCCCCAAAGTTTGGTGTGGTCAGCAAACTTGGCCCGTCCACTTTTGATGATAGTGTCCAGTTTAAGACATTAAGAAGAGTACAGGTCCAAGAACAGAGCTCTGGGGGTACCACTAGTCACTGAACGCCAGGCTGATTCGGTTCCATCAACTACCACTCTGGGTCCTACCTCGGAGCCAGTTCCCCAGCCATTGGACTATGGAGTAGTTGAGGCTGCAGTTACCCAATTCTTCCCCATGAGAACATCATGGGACACCAGGTTATAAAAAAGAGCCTTTGAAGTCCAAAGTATATGACCACATCAACCTCTTTCCTTTTGTCCAGGTGGTATGTCACCTGGTCATAGAAGGAAGGAAGTGAGATTGGTCAAGCAAGACCTACCCACAACAAACCCGTACTGGCTATCCCTCAGAACGTTGCCTTCTGTTAGCCTGTCAAGAATGGTTTCTTTGGGAAATTTTTGGAAAAATATTAAGTCAGGGATTGAGGTCAAACTGATTGTCTAATTATTTCCTGGGTCTTTCTTCCTCCTCTTGAAGATGGGCACCACATTGGCCCTCTTCCAGTCTTTAGGTACTTCACCTGAGCCCCACGATTCTCAAATATCCTCGTCAGTGGCTACGCTATGTCTGCCAGTTCCTTTAGCACTCTTTTTTTTTTTTTTTTTTTTACCCAAATCTATCCAGATAAGCCAATTTGTGGGGGTCCAGCCTCAAGACGTTCCCTCACAAGATCCATACTAGTGGCAGGCATATACTCATCTTCACCTGGGTCATCCCAGGTTATGTTAGGTAGGGTGGTCCCTTTGGGCTGGTGAAAAACCGATGCAAAGTAACTATTAAGCAGATTGTCTTTTGTCAGTAAGCAACTGCCCCAGCTGGTTTAGCAGGGGTCCAGTGTTGCCCTTGTTTTCCTTTTGACTCCCTACATATCTGAAAGACTTTTTAATTGTCCTTGATTCATGTAGCTAGCTGGAGTTCAGTTGTAGCCTTGGCTTTTCTCATTCACTCCCTGCAGGTGCAGACCAGTGCAATACTCCTCCTTGGTGGTATTTCCCATCCTCCATCCATTATATGCCTTTTTAGATGTAGGAGGTCCATGAGCTCCCTGTTGAGCCTAGGAGGTTGTTGAGCCCTTTTACCACCTTTACTACAGGAGGGGAGGGACTCACCTTGTGCTTCTAGGATCGCTTCCTTAAGCAAGCGCTCATGAACTCCCCTACCTGTGAAATCGTAGCCTCTCAGGGCCTCAAAAACAAGCCTGAGCTTATTAAAAAAGGTGTCCGCTTTCCTAACATCAAGGACTACTGCATTGCTGGCCGACTTGCCAGCTTTGCAAGGATAGTGAAAGTGATCAACTTGTGGTCACCGTCACCCAGCTTCCCTTCGATTCTTAGGTTGCCGATTAGATCATTTCCTTTGGCCAGTACCAGGTCCAGCAGCACCCTGCCTCTTGTCAGCCCATAAACTTCTTGGGACAGGTAAAGCTCATCCACGCATGTAAGGAAGCTTTGTGACCGATTGGATTTGGCCGAGTGCTCATCCCAGGAGATGTCATGGGAGACTTCAATTACCCAGACAACCATGCACCAAGAGTGTGCAGCCTCAGCCAGTTCCCTGGCAAATTCTTGGTAAAGCACTTGGTTCCTGGTTTGGAGGTCTGTAGCAGACTCCTACCATTGTATCCCCTTCACTATGTTCCCCTCATATTCCAACCCAAAGGGTCTCCAGTCATCCTCCTTGGGTGCCAATCTCAACTTGTAGGGATGTGTAGCTTTCTTCCACAGAGCTACACCCCTGCTCCTTTTTTCAGCACACTCTCCTGTACAGGGTATAGCCATTTATACTGGTAGTGCAGTCATAGGAGGAGGAGTCCCACCAGGTCTCCATGATCCCCATGAGATCGTAGTAGTTTGTTCAGCAGAAGGACCAGTACTTCCTGTTTACTCCCCAAACTTCTAGCATTAGTGTACAGGCAATGTAAGTGTCCCTTTGGAGGCCCTAGGCTTCCTTGTACCCATGGAAAACCTACTCCTGGGCTGGGATAGAAGTGGGTTCCCTTGAGCATCCTAACGTGCTGGTTTTCTGGTTGATACTTGGCAAGCTTGCTCTGGTGGTTGTCCACCCATCCCCCAGTGAGCTTAGTTTAAACCAGTTGAGCAGGTCAGCCATGCTGGCTGAGAAGAGCTTCTTCCCCAGTGCAGTGAGGTGGAGGCTGTCTCTTTCCAACATATCACTGCCTCTCTCACCAAGAAATGGACTGTGGTCATAGAAGCCAAAGCCTTCAGATCACTCCTTCTGTTGCCCTCAGGAGGAAGTCACCCAAAACAACCAGTCTGTGGTTCCATCTTGGGGATGATAGCTGGTTGTTTCTTCCTCACTTGTAGTAGCTGGAAGCTCTGCAGGCTCTACTAGTGCTGAAGAGGTTCATACCTGTTGCAGAGATCGGGGGGGGGGGGG